AGACACTAAAGGCGTATTACACCAATAAACTAATAACTTGTGGTCAAGGCTAACGAGAGTGTTACACAAACTACAGTGACTCATCACTTTCATCTGTGACCTCTGACCTATAGCGAAGACGTGAGGTGGCAGCGTGCCCAGAGACTTCCCCTGGTACGACTTGATGGCGTCGGGTCCGTACAGTTTTGGTATGTCGTAGTAAGGATTAACAGCTATCAGGATATTGGCCACATAAGTCTGCAGGAGAGATAAAGACGGCGGTGATTAGGATATCAGAATACGTATACATTATTGAACAATGGGAGACAACAAAGGTAATAAAACGGCCTCACCGCGGGCTGGTGAGACACACCTCAGCCTGTTTCTTGCCTTTCTTATTTACCAGCTGTCCCTCATATCCTAAGTGAGTGACTGAGGTCAGGATTGGGTTTGCCAGTCTGACCCTCTTCTAGCTTCTCTTCCCTCTTCACCACCTGGTACCTTCCCCCCCGAGGGAAATAAGGATAGGGATCCTTTCTTTCTTTCTGCCCTCAAAGCTGCTGCGTGTCTCCTTATGGTGCAACTAGATCGTCTTTGAGCCACTGCAGGAGCATAAATGTAAAAGATATACAGAGAGCTAAGGCAAATAAACGAAGAGGGAAATGAGAACATACGTAGATGTGGTCTTTGATGTATCGGACTCGGACGTTGTTCAGAAGAGTGGCTTCATTCAAGTACATGAGGGAACCTAAAGATAGAGGGGAAAAAACACACAATTAAACTGGATAAATCCGTTAAGAAAGTATTTTTAATCAAAGTTATCCCGGTACAGACTTACAGTTGTCGTCTACGTGTTTGTTGACGTCGTCCTCTGCTGGGAAGACTTGGCTCATCGGAGCAAGAAAAGTCTGTAACATGAACAGTTTGACTAATTGCAGCATTTACATGATGTCATTTCCAGGACAGACAAGCGGCATCGTCTCCGCTAATCCCCGCCAGCGTCACGGACAAAATTATTAATTGTTTGCTTGTTTGGAAATCTTGTGACACAAACAAATGTTTATTTGAACCATAAAACAGAGAGACGTATTAAACATCACAAACAAGCGAGCGTGAGCACAAACATCAAACATTTATCACGCCTAAAGATCGCAGTAATGATGTTTGCGGCGACGTGTTCCCAGGCTACATTAGTTACTGATATTCTCACTCTATTGTCTGAGAGTCTGAGTTAATGGAAATAAAGTCAATGGAACGAGTCGGCTGTGAGAGAAACAAGGGAGGACATGGCAGGATAATGAATAATTTGGTGGGAGAGCAACAGGATCTGAACACCTGACTGAGTAAGTGAGTGCTGCGCAGTCGGTAAAGAGGGGATGATGGCGGAGCCCTCGTTGGAACCAATCACGTCGCGGCGTTATTAAAAACGATCAGAATCCATCCTGAACATTTAAACAGGCTCGGGTAATTTACCGACGGTGACACCTGCAACAGGGCCGCCCATAACAGAGCAATCAGACTTAAAGTATATATCAATATAATAAACTGTCTCTCTTCCCATTTACATCTAATGCTCATTCCACACTCCTCATATCAATACCGCGGCCGGTCTGTGCGATCCATCCTGTGCTATGAAGCGTGGTTTATTACCACAAACAGCCTGCGAGCATAAACAGAATGTGCTTTGTGTGCCGGCTGCGGCGTCTTGGCACAAACCGGACACGGCCGTCCACAATAACAACCATGTGAGAAATGTCTAACCGATAAAACCGACAGAGGGAGAGAGGCGGCCTGGCCGAGGCACTAACGAGCTGAACGCCGCAGTAAAAAGAAGACACTCAATGGGCCTTTTATTCACCCCGAGAACGGAGCCGAGTTTATGCCTCGCAATACGGCACAACCTGATAACGACCACAGAAAGTTCACGGCTAATAAATTCTGACTCACCAAAACCTTCTCCAGCTGATAATACATATATTAAAAAATCACCAAAATCATTCAGCTTTCATCATATGCTCGTTAAGTCAATCTTATTCCATAACCCAACACATGCCAACACAATCTGTGGAGCCTACAATCTAATTTGCATAATTAAAAAACAATGCATTTAGACTCCAAACTACTCAGAAGCTAACCTGGGTGGATATTTGTGCTTACTGTTTTGTTTTTTTTCCAAATGAAGAAAGCTATAAAACATAGGCTGCATTTCTAGTTGTACACCTCACTAAGAATATAGTTGTTTCATGCTGTACGCTCACAGTCTGGACATCTACTTCATCATAACATCTTTAAACTCTGACTGTTCGTAGCGAGGAAGGAGCTGCCACCTGTTTGTTCGGCTCAGGCTGGTTTATACTCGTACCAACATAAGTGACATAACTGTACAGAGGAATCAGGGTCAGAGGAGACAGAAAAGCACGCTGGCTTGGACGCTTCAAAATCCGATCGGATGCAGTCGGAGGTACAACATTTAAGATACTGTCTATTGGGTAATACTAAATCTTTTTCTGGCATACCGTATAGAACAATATGCATCCTTAGTAATAGAGGGTTTGATTTGAGAGGCAGCTCATAGCATCAACAATGACTGCACTCCATTGAGCTGCTCCACATCCAGGTCCATGATACGACTCGTGCTGATCCACTGGACCACCTCAACGGGTATTTTCCATTAACATCACCCAGTAAGAAAAGCACATGTATAAATAATGAAATTAAGAGTTTTATCAAGCTAATTCAGGGCCCTGGCTCATGGCTTTAACATGTTATCCATAATCAAATTTAACAAATTCACCCCTCCAGTCAGCGGTAACATCTCCTGCAGTGAATGCTGGTTACACCTAAATGGACCAGAGCCGTGGTGATTATTGTTATTCTGTACACTGGTGCTATAACAAGCCTGTGGTGACACCGGGCGATACAGTAACGCGCTGAGAGCAAACAAAACAAGCCGCCACAGTCCATGTCTGTTGTAAACATCAGAGGGCTGCTTGCTGGGGACACGTGACGGCTCAGGTGTAACAGGTGGCCTCTACCTCCTAATGAGCAGCTCTCCCTCCAGGCAACGCTATCAGCACACCTGCTGCCGCTGCTCTTTATTTATTCATGCCTCTGTACATGCGGTCTCTCATGTTTCTCACATTTTACACATTGTTGTGCCGACGCCTTTCTGCCTGAAATCGGACGGACTGAAACAAAACCAAAGAACCACCAGAACTTTTCATTGTGCTTTCCATGAAACTCCTGCACATGAACGTATGAATACTTCCATACGTGGTTCTGGTCCTCCTGGGATCAACTCAATGCAATTCTTACATAAACCTACAGAGCATCAGAGGAAAACAGTCTCACTCCTCCTCAGCTGTTCTCCCAGTTGGTAAATGGACAGCGATGATGGCGGGTGTTCGTACAGTGTGTTTGTGTGCGATGACCCACCTTGCCCTTCTGGTTCAGCGGTTCTATGGTGAGCGCGTCGGCTCCTATGTCAACGATCATGCCCAGCTGGAACCCGTCGGTGGGGTGGGGCGCCCACACAGGCTTCCCATCGTCCATGGCTCAGCTCCAGTCAGCACGGCCACACAACTGAAGGAGAGAGACGGAGGAAACTTAAGCAAAGGAGAGAGCATATGTTCATCAAAATGGATACGCAAGGCAGAATACACAGTTTGGTATTTTTACTGAGGTACACGGATTTCACATTCAGGTTGATGTCAGCAGTGCTAATTTAAAAAGGGAACTTCGAGAGTAGGCTGAGGGACATTTTTCAATATCACTCTATCATTTTTTTGTAAGTCAGCCACCTAATCCAGGTAGTAAGTTCCCGTGCCTCCTCAAATGCTCCCATCCAGGTGACCACGCAGCTAAATGGTTAGGATGTGGACCACCTGGGTGTAAACGCCATCAGCACTGGTTAGATTCCCAGAAAGTTCTCTTCGCCCACGTTTCCTGTCTGCTACTCATTTCTAATAAAAAAGTCTTCACCAAACCCCCCAGTAGAACCTTTAGTGAACCTCCCAGTATAAAGGAATCAAACAGATCTGTAATGACACTCCTCAGTCATCAGCGTTATGTGACTGGGATCCGACCAGCTGCTCCTGTCTGCTTCGGTTTCCATTAAGCTGTTATTCCTGATACTGATCTCGTAAGAGAGGATTTCGCATCGCGGTAGGTCTCTGGTTGTCTCCTGACCCGACGTGACCCGGCAGAACTGTCCAGCCAAACAATCCAGTTTGGAGGTGTGTTTGGAGCGTGTGGCGTCCCACGCTGGAGCAGCAAATACATTTTCAGTTACAACATGTTGAAAATGGCCGCTGGGATCTGTGGATTTATACTTTTTGCACAACGACTGCTGTTCAAATAAATCACGACGGGACGATTTTTCTAAGCAAACAACTATTTGAACATTTTGCTGGATAAAGAGCTGTTATTTTGCCAAAATGCACCGATTTATGCAATAAATTGTGGACTCAAATTGTTTGTTCGGTTACTCCACAATTAGTTTAGACCTTGAATAATGTACACGACAACCAAACGGATCTTTTCTGTCTGGATCTGTTGACAGTCTTAACGCGTCTTCAGTCAAATGTGAAACCTCCACATGCGTGTTGTTTACTCCAGTTAATCCCACAACCACTGAGTTCCTCAAAGTAAAAGTGCTGACGTTATTCTTGGGTATCCAGTAAACTTCAGGGATTGAGGTCATATGTCGGAGAGGACGGTGGGTGGAAACTAACAAGTTAAAGGTAACCAGGTAAACTGACTCCTCATTAAGCTGGATCCAACTTACGTATCTCTATTTACTTTTTGCTCTGCATAAAGCAAACTAATATTTCATTATTTAACACTTTTCATTAGACGAGTTTAATAATTCTGACACGGTTGTTATCTCTGCATCCCAGGTGACAAGAACAGAAACAATGAAAAGATCTTTCTACATTTGGTTCCTTTGTGTTGCTCGTGTCTACCACTTCTGTCTCCCTGAACAAAGACAGAGATGCAGTCGGCATGGTTACAGCGACAATAAAAGGGCATCAATCAGACTTTAATTGATTCACTATCAAGCGGTTGCCACGTTTAGTCACTAAACCTACATCTCCCAAATGCGTGCTGTGGATCTTTCCTCACCATTAGTTATTGACGGAGGATGCTAACCGAAAAGAAAACACACATCACAGCACAAAGGAAAGCTGCTGTCGGTTCTAAATGTATTCATCACAACTTTAATAGAATATAATTTTACAACTGCTGCCACAGAAAAGGGAATGTAAGTCAAGACTGTTAGGTAAATTTATTGCTATGGGTTCCACCTATAAATAGAGCAATATAGTTTACAACAGGTGTCTTTGTCTGAAGTAGGCCAGCAGACAAGCAAGAGGAAGACTTCACCTATCAAAGGTCTGAGCCTCCGTCCAGGACTAATCTAGAACAAAGAGAACTCAAACAGTTCACCGCCTCTGAATGCAATCTGCTGGATTCTCAAGAGCAAAACAAGGCTCAGTAAGAAACTAGACACTTCTTCGGCCTTGGCTTTAGAAAACAGAGTCAGTGGGTATCTTCAATCTGACAGGGACAATCATTCAAGGTCTGCACGCTGATAACAGCCGGCTGCAGCAAGTAGGAAGACTCCATGTGTAGGACTGACCGTATGTGCAGCACCAGCTACCAAATACAGATCTGCCTGGTTTGGTGTTCGGTGTTCAAACATTAAAAGTGTTGGGTGGAATTATACGACACATGCTTCAGCTGTAACCACATTCAGACATAAGCAGGAGGGAAAAAACACCGGAAGTTAGGAGGATGAAATGGCTTCGAGTGTGAGAGGGTTTTGTCAGGTTTGTCTTCGTTAGACTGTCCAGCAGCTCGACTCCAAGCTTAATTACAGTTTGTCCACACAGGAAATACGCTCAGTTAAAAACTACATAAAAGCCTAAATGAGCTGCTATAACGGGAATGTTGTGTGTGCTGCTACCCGCTATATGCACCAACATACAGCTCAGTGTTGTGAGCAACCGTCCAGACTATCTGGCATCTCATTTAAGGAGATGGACCTCAACCTTACAGATCTCCACCACAAAACAAAGGCGTGACTGACTCCTCTTCTCCCCCCACCACCCGCCACCAGGAGTAACTTTGACTCTGCAGCCTTTAATCCTCTTAGTGTTTGACCCTAATCCAGACAGAGAGGTGAGACGCTTCGAGCGCAGCCTGACAAATAAAAAAGTCACTGATCAGTTACGAGACGCTGCAAATCGGGAGGGTCACATGTCCAGCAGGGAGGCATCCAGTCCAGAGAGGAGGAAACACACACACACACACACACATACACACACACACATGAATGGACGCTGGGCTCCGAGTCGAGGCAGGACACGCAAAAAAAAAAAACACGCCTCTAGTTTCCTGCCTCTTGCTTCCTGTTCTCTATCAGGCACAAGGGGGACGTGGAAAAGGCACTGGACCTCCACTACAGGGATGGACACACAGTCTGCACTTCCAGGAGGATATCTTATAAAAGAGTGTGCAAACTTCACTTTTACATGTTCACGGTTAGATAAGGGAGAAAGAGTCTAATAAAATATAAATAAATGACAACAAATGTAGTTTCATTACTCCTGTGAGGACACTTAAACTGTGTGAAAGCAGAAGCAGAGACTAAAAAAAAGTATGTTAGTGATGTTTCAAGACAAACTTCTGATTAAACTGGATGGATTTATATCATCACAGTGACTACTAGTCTGCATGAGGCTACCAGCAGGCCTACTAAGCCCCTTATAAATAACCCAGAATGACTCCTGTAGACTAAAGCAGGTAAAGCAGACCTACAGGTAGGTGGTTTAAACAAAACACTACAACACTCCCTCTATGTATGTTAATACAAAGACAACAGAAAGTTCCTCCATGAGGCTGCTTCTGACGGTTTAAAAGTGTAAAAGTTGGACCAAACTCACCACCTGTGTCCTTCAGAAGCTCAGTGTTTGGATCCAGCAGCGCCGGTTCCGTCCTTCATGCGGCTGTGCGCGTGTCTGCAGCGGGGCTCCACCGTCGGTCTGTCTGTCTGTCGGTGTGTCGGTGCTTCCTGTCGGTGCTGAGCGGGACGGGACGGTGGACTGAAGCGGCAGCAGCAGGTCCGTGCAGGATGACAGGCGGTGCGACGTTCACTGTCTCACAACGCCATGCACGCGCACACCGGTGAGCTCCGGTGACGTCACCCCTCCCCCTCCTCCTCCCTCCGGCGGCTGTGGAAAACCGCTGAAGGTGCGTTCAGGTGCCGCTCGGAAGATCCCGTGTCAGGTAGCTTTCTCCAGAACAAAGCAGAAGAAAGCAACCCAGTTCAGTGATGAAGACGTGTCAAAAAAAAACATCATCACATGCATTCAAAGCAATTTAAATTTATTTACAGAGTGTGTGTGACTGTGGGAGATCTAATTGAACTCATTTACTGTTTGTTTTGTGCTTCATCAAACCGTCTACTTGGTTGGCTGCAGTGAAAAGGCCGCCAGTGTTGCCTTGAGAGTCATGAATATTTGAGAGGCAGGTAATCCAAAACTTTTGGGGGGATTTTTGAAGGAGACACCCAATCCAGAGCTGAAACACTGGCTGCCACAGGGTTTGTAAATCTAATTAGGACATCTGACACCGCCTGTATTGGACCCTATCTGGTTACAGACACTAGATGACAGCATGTAAACACTGACATGACAGTTTTTTTTTCTTTTCTAACAAGTTAAAAGTTCAAGTTAGTAATTGCAAGACATCTTAAATAATGCACCACAGAAGACAAATGATATGAGGTCATATTTAAGTTTGGATTCCAACAACACATCATCCAATGAGGAATTAAGCAGCGATAATTCATCATTTTGATGGTGTGGCAGGTGAGTGAATGTTGGACTGACTGATGTCTGAGAAATTTAAGATCCAGTTCATGTGGAGGTTTGCTCCTGTGCTCATATGGACAATGGCGCCCTCATGTGGCCTCATAGGGGAGACTAGTACCTGTATGACTGAAACCACATCCCAAACCAGTTACTATAAACTGTAGCACACTTCCAGGAAAAAACAGAGAAGCTTAAAGAGCACAGAAGTTATGGACTGGAGACATGATCATCAGAAGGAACCAGAAAAGCTGCACACATGAACACAGATTCAGTCACGTGTTAGAAAACAGTGTAAATGCAACTCCTGTGGAATAATACACATTATGCAGCTGGAATAATATCTACTGAATCCCAGTGGGGTTTAACTCCCTTCATAAAGCTTTAAGGAAGTTTTCATAGAAGTTTGAGGAACAACTCCTCCTAATATTTATATATTTATGTCTATTGGATCATCAATCTTGTGCGTTGTTTATTTGCCGTATTAATTTTTAATTTGAAATAAATCACATGACGTTGTAGAAATGGCAGTCACTTTTCAAAATATAGTGCATTTAAAAAGAACACTGAGAGCACGTTCGTTTATAATCGCATTACACGGACCACAAACTGCATTAAGTTGATGCTCTTTAGCATCTTTAGTGAAACGAATTGGCCACTGTCACACGGGCCATTACAAAATCTTATTTGAGAACCCAAAACAAAGTGAACCACAGGTGAGTACGGTCACTTCTCATGACAAATGCTCCCTCATTATGACCATACTCGTACATGAATGCTGGAATCGGTGTGTAAAAGTATTTTAAAAGCTTTGTAGATTCAACCCTCTAATTATCTGATAGTGTTATGAAGCGGAGGCAGTGTATTTATCAGGCCCCTCCGCTGTCAATCACTCCACTGCTTTCCCAGCCAATTATCTGTGGGGCCCCAACCGCTTTGGACTTTATCTGTGAACTGTTTATAAATGTACTATCACGCACATTCTGTGGTGCCTGCGGAGGAACATGAAATGTTTCTGTAGGACCACCAGTGTTCAAAGCTCCTGCAAATCTTTGCAAGTTGGCAATACTTCTGACTTCTGCCTGGAAAATACTTCTACAGGTAGGCGATCCGGATTTTAAAATACTTTTTTATAATGATAAAAGCGTTTTTCTTTCAGAAATAGTGCCAAGTTTACGACTACACAGCTGAGCAAGTCTTTGGTTTATGTAGATATAGTTCTCGGTGTGGCTTCCATGTCTTCATGTTCAGCGTTACTTCACTGAAAGGAAATAATGAGTTGGTTCAGAACAATGTTTTCTATACTTAAAGTATCAGTGGCTTTAAATGTGTGGTGGAAGCTTCTGCAACGTTAAATATTTCTAAATGAAAGAGTTCTGTGTTATGAAACGCTCTTTTTTGGTCTTTGGGAAATAATTTAAAATCCTTTAGAAAATGAGACTGAATGTAGAGTTTGCTCTCAGGAATGTAATCCGCTGCCTGCTTCTGTAAAACAAGATGCCAGAGATAACAGGTTTATACGATTATATTATAGGATAAACACGCGGCGTTGCTTTTTTCTCCTGAAACAAATGCTGATGATTCCACTGTATTAGTTCGGAAAAATTGTTTTTAAAAACCTGTTGGGAAAAAATATCATTAGCATTCTCTTAATTTGTCCCTTCAGTTTAGCCCACCAACCTGCCCATGTAGCAGAATGAGAGGAGAGAAGCTGCTCCTACCCATGATCCTGCTGTCAGCGCTGACGAGTTTACTGCCAATACAGACATCATACGGACAGCACTTGACAGATGAGCCTTGCACTGTTCAGATCCTTGTCCCCGGACTCAAAGGCACGTCAGTCTACCAGCTTCATCACACACACAGACATACAATAAACATATTTAAACTGAACTAATTCAACAAAAACACAATCTGATCTATTTTTCTTTCTGCAAAAAGGAGAACCAGGAGACAAAGGACAAAAAGGAGCACCGGGGAGACCAGGAAGAGTCGGCCCTCCTGGAGAGACCGGTACACAACTGTGATCGTAGAATGTTTTTTTCTTTAAAATGTCATTCTTAATCAAGCATATACTTGATGTTGGAGAGGAAAAAGCCTTTGCCATAGGCCCAGATGTATACGTTTCCTTGTTTTCTCATCACCAGCACTTGGCTGACACAGAAAGAACTGGGCTAAAGATCACATTTCTCAGGCTGATAATGTGCTGTTGCATCACACGCAGGCCGTCCAGAGATGGCCGAGTGTTTACATTTGCGTGAGGGGTTGGAGGAGAAGTGATTTGTGGAATCCAGTGCTGTGGACAAGTGTTTACTGAAGATATTAATGAGGAGTGGAGGGTGTTCCCTAACATACAACACTGCACATATTCATCATTTTAATTGATAGTGGAATTAAACGGCGCTTTGACAGGTTTTGCCATTATTTCCTATAAATTTTAATTCACGGTGTTTTGAGGTGCATCGACTCTGTTTACAATGAGAGATGTGTGGCTTTTAAAACAGATTGCATGTTAACTAAATGTACCTGGCACTCTTTTCAGGCCTACCCGGGGTTAAAGGACAGAAAGGCATCATGGGACGTTATGGAAAAGTCGGCCCGAACGGATTGAAAGGTGCTACAATCAGCAGAGATGTACTTGTTTGGGAATGCATTGATTATACGTCAAACACATTTTTACACTTGATTAATATTGCATTTCTGTCTCAGGGATCAAAGGAGACGTGGGCGAGCCCGGTCCGAGGGGCCCGAACGGAGAGCCAGGTGAGATATTAAACCGTCTTAATCAGTTTGTCGAGCAGATTATTGCAGGATTAGATAGACGCAATTGATGGAATTTGTAAATTAATTAAGCCAACTGTGCGGTAATCCCCTACATTTTTGCCTTATCAGGTGTTCCATGCGAGTGCACGCCAATGAGGAAGATGATCGGAGAAATGGACATTCTTGTGGCCCAGCTATCCTCAGAGCTGAAATTCATTAAAAATGGTATGATCTTGGTGTTCTTCACACAACTTCTTCCATGTATCCGTGCTGTTTTCACTCCTTATCTTCATAGAACTGCAAATGGTGGGCATGTCAATGTGAAATTTATAGAAATACAAGTGCTCATTTTTCAGCACTGCCCTCCCCTGCAGCTGTTGCTGGCATAAAAGAGACAGACAGTAAGGTCTATCTGTTGGTGAAGGAGGAGAAGCGCTACTCCGACGCCGAGGGCTACTGCCAGACGAGGGGAGGGCACCTGGCCATGCCCAAGGATGAGGGAGCCAACACGGCCATCGCAGGCTACATAAGCGACGCGGGCCTGAGCAGAGTCTACATCGGCATTCATGACCTGGACCGCGAGGGCGTTTTCACCTACGTGGACCTCTCACCCATGACCACGTTCAGCAAGTGGAGGAAAGGAGAGCCCAACAACGCCTATGACGACGAGGACTGCACTGAGATGGTGGCCTCTGGGGAGTGGATCGACGTGGCCTGCAATCCCACCATGTATTTTGTCTGTGAATTCGACAAGGACAGTGTCTGAGTTGGTTCCATATTAAACAGACTGCTAAAGAACGGACGAATGCAATGGAGCAAAAAGCTGATGTATTCATACTGTTTGAGCTTCCATCTGTAAATACGACGACAAAATGACATGCAAGTTGTGCAAACCAGTATATTTCCTGCTACTTTCTTTTCCCTTGTGAGCTTATAAGCTATTTATTTCCTGAACTCACAAAAACAGCCTGAGTCTTGTTAGAATTTTACTTATTTTAAGTGCATGCTTAATCTCATATTCTGCGACTCATTAATGTTTCCGACAGCATGCTCTGGCGAGTGTATTGAGATTTTATGGTATGCAAACTATCCACTGAGCAAGATTTGTACCGGCGCCACTGACAAACAAGGCAAATAAGCAAATACAGAAGGCTGTAGATTGTGCAGAAAAATATACAATTAAAAGACAGATTTTGGTTCCGGTCGGGTGCTTTTAATCAGAGAAATGGAATACAGCATGCGTTCTACATTCATATTCATATAATAAGTTATGTGGCGGTTGTTGCACAATAAACATTCTCATATAATTTAAAACACAGAGACAATGCCTGGACATTATTCTCTGCCTCTGAGCTGATTGCACTTATTTACTGCAGCAGTTGAGCTGAATCCAGCAGACAGCCTCCACCTAGTGGATGAAAGTAATACTGTGATTTAACAGTTTGTTAGCCTGGGACAGGACTATAGGGGCTGCAACACAGGCCTGGAGGCATTTTGACTGGTCATATTAGGAAAAGCAGAGGTATTAGTATTAACAGCTCTACAAATAAAGTGCTTTTCTCACTGTGTCAAGTCAAAGTTTGCGGTTTTCTGAAGCTGTTGGGTTCTGGATAAACACTATGTTGTACCTGTTTAAGAATGTTAGACAAGTATTGCATGAAAGTCAAAGCTTAGCAACAAATATGAAAACATGGCTGTACTTCCAAACACACCAGCAGCAGAAAAGAAGTCCGTCTGCAGCATGCACAGGTCCTCTGGGAGCAATAATTCAAAAAAAAAATCTTAAGGGTGAACAAAGTCATTGTGTCATGAATTATCTGGGAGGCAGCAAAAGTGCATCTGAGTCACTTTCACAACATCCACCCTCTAGTAAAGTCTAACACTAAGCTCACGTGATGTCCAACCAGCTACAGGAGATTGATTGCAAACTGTAATAAATGTAAGTTAGTGGGTCAAAGGAAACTCCTCCATTGCTTCTCCCAGATTCTCCACTTGACAAGAGTACTGGAGGCACAACATGTCTACAGTATTTTAAAGTTGCATAGCAGAACTGAGGGCTGCACGGTGGCTCAGCGGGTGGCACAGCTAGAAGGTCGCCGGTTGGCGTCCCGGTGAGGACACCTGGGATCTTCCTGCGTGGAGTCTCCATGTTCTCCCCGTGCAGGGTGGGTTCTCTCCGGGTTCTCCGGCTTCCTCCCACAGTCCACAAACATGCTGAGGTTAATTGGTGATTGTAAATTGTCCGTAGGTGTGAATGTGAGTGTGCTTGGTTGTCTGTCTCTAAGTGTAGCCCTGTGATAGACTGGTTACCTGTCCAGGTGAACCTGCCTTCACCCTGAGTCAGCTGGGATAGACTCCACCCCCCAAGACCCTAGTGAGGGTTAAGGTGTAGAGATGATGGATGGATGGATAGATAGCAGAACTGGGATTTCTTTTAATGCTTTTTTGGACATACTTGTTGGAGATTTTGCTTTGAGTAAAATGTTGAAACCCATTTTATGCAGTGAATACAGTCTGATGCTACAGACCACATACGCCGGCGTACTGCTGGTTTTAATGCTGCTGTAAATTAACACTGACAGTTTTTCGCTGTGACACGACTCTTATTTAAAAATAATGCATTGCCTAAACACAAGAGGGCTCCGAATAATAACAGATCACCCTCGGTAACAATGTGACAGCGTAGTGTTTGCTGAATGACAAGAACAAGACGTTACACACCTTAGATGAGTTTGACATTTTCATCTTGGAAAATCCTCTATGGTTTAGTCGTGTGATTAATAGAAGATGTCTTACAGTCCTGGCAGCTATTGTTTTTAGGACGGGCATCCCAGCTGAGATGATATCCTATCGCGTCCCTCTAAGACGAGGAATTTGAATATGCATGATGCATTTCTCCTAATAAAGCACAGCACCAGTCCCTTAAGAAATGAATAATTAATGCTGGGATGAATTATGCATTTAATTGACCAGGAGTTGTCTGGCATAAACCAATTAGGTGCCATTGTTGGTGCAATCTCTGGTTACCTTAGTAGTAAGCAGTTTGGACAGCTCCGTCTCAGCAGTGCAGAGGGAGACAATCTGTGGTGAAAAAGACCTGCGAATGGGAGATATGGCCGCAGAGCATGAAACGGACACCGTGTCTCTGATGTTATATCCACTTCTAAACCCTCCTTGGAAGCGGAAATCTAATTTGCACCGTAGTATTGAGTTTTAATTTGTGCTGGACTCAAATTTTCGCTAAAGGATACAGTTTTTCATGATTGTGTGAAGAAATTGAATCAGAGGTGTGAGGTGTACATAATGTATAGAGAAAAATCAGATAAAACATCTTAGATCTCATATCTTTAGTCGTGTAGTGCAATATAATTTAATGGATTCTAGCAGAGGGCGTGGACAAAGAGGTTGGGGAAGCGTAAACCAGGCCTGCTGGTTCACGTGGCTTTGTTGTGCAACATCTGTGTGTATTTCAAGAACATCTGCATATAATAATACACAGACAAATACAACAAGGACAGATTACATTTTGATAAGTTAGAGGTAAATAATCTTATATTGGTGGAACAAACCCATGTCAAAGATGTCCCAGATCACTTTGATGGTGCAGGACGCAACTTTTTTTGTTGTTTGTTTTTGCTGCAGAGTCCAACTGCTGTCAAATGATCTACATTATTTATTGCAATCAGAGGTTATGCGAAACAAAACAAAATGCAGTGTTCTAGCACATGATGCAGATTCTGTACAACTTCACCCTTCAGAACCAGGACATCTAGGTCTGCTGAACCAGGACATCTAGGTCTGCTGAACCAGGACATCTAGGTCTGCTGAACCAGAACATCTAGGTCTGCTGGATCCTTTAATTGCGGTGTCCAGTGTGTAGAGGAAAGAAATAATACATTTCAGCACAGGAATGGGAATTTGATATCGCCACGACTCTAGCTAATTAGATGAGAGCTACAGGCCCACATTTAAACCGCTGCTGCTGTAATATCAGCTGACTGGTTGCCTTGGAAACCCTCCAGGTTCAAGTCGTAAATGAACGTTAGCTACACAGAAGACGCAAACAACAACAACAACCACAACAACAGGCGACATGGTGGATGCGTTTCTTGATTCCACACCTCTCATGCGGAAGAACTGGGTTCCATATCAGATGCTATCTCCAGTTACGTGTCCGGACACCAGCTGCCTGTGACTCATTTGGACTTTTGACGCCGAACGGTTGGTTTCGTCGTTAACGGCCGCTGCTTGCTAACCGTAAAACGATGCCCCGTCCGGCGGGCAGAGGGGATTTACCGCCGACTAAAACCATCATCGTCTACAGGAACGGCGACGCTTTCTTCCCCGGAAGGAAACTGGTCGTGAACCCGCGGCAGCTGTCGACCTTTGACGGCTTTTTGACCTTTCTGACCAGAACCATCGAGGCTCCGTTCGGGGCCGTCCGGAGGCTGTACACGCCCCGGCAGGGCCACCGGGTCCAGCACATGGACGAGCTGAAGCACGGCAGCGTGTATGTGGCGGCTGGAAACGAGCAGTTCAAGAAGCTGGAGTAGGTGTCCTGTTTAGCTTTTTTTTTGGTCTGGTTGTTGGCGGGTGTGGGTTAGCAATGTAGCCGGGAGGTCAGCTCACCTTGTCCGGGGAGGAGTTCCACCCGAGGCCGAGGCTTCGATGTGGGCCTGTGGGCCTCCTGCTCAGATACTTGAGTTTTTGGTGATGTTTGCTTCTTTTGTTGGGTGAAAATTTGGCTAAACTGGTGCTCCATAGTCTTTAAAATATGTCTAGTAGGTCAGTTTCATTAAAACAAGTGCTTAAAGGTTGAGTGACCCACATTCACTGGTTAAATTATGTTTAACTTTGGGTTTCCAGTCATGAGGAGAGGCTCCACCATGGACCAGTGGCTCCATAAGGTGCTGAAATTCTGGAGTGGGTGAAATTTGGCTAAACTGGTGCCCCATAGTCTTTAAAATATATCTAGTAAGTCCGTTTTAATGAAACAAGTGTTTAAGGGTTGAATAGCCTACATTTAAAGGTCAAATTAAGTCTAACTTTGGTTTTTTTTGTAATGTTTGCTTCATTTGTTGGGTGAAAATTTGGCTAAGTTGGTGCTCCGTAGTCTTTAAAATATATCTAGTAAGTCCGTTTTAATAAAACAAGTGCTTAAGGGTTGAATAGCCTACATTTACTGGTTAAATTAAGTCTAACTTTGGGTTTCCAGTCATGAGGAGGGGCTCCACCATGGACCAATGGGCTCCTTTAGGTGCTCAGATTCTTGGGTTTTCTGTCATGTTTGCTTCTTTGGCTAAGTTGGTGCTCCATAGTCTTTAAACTATGTCTGGTAAGTGAGTTTCCATAACACAGGTCGTTAAAGGTTAAGGGACCCACAGTTTCTGGTTAAATTAAGTCTAACTTTGGGTTTACAGCCATGAGGAGGGGCTCCACCATGGACCAGTGGGCTCCTTCAGGTGCTCAGATTCTTGGGTTTTCTGTCATGTTTGCTTCTTTGGCTAAGTTGGTGCTCCATAGTCTTTAAACTATGTCTAGTAAGTCAGTTTCCATAACACAGGTGCTTAAGGCTTGAGTGAGCCACATTTACTGGTTAAATTAAGTCTAACTTTGGGTTTACAGCTATGAGAAAATGTTCCACCATGGGCCAATGGGCTCCTTCAGGTGCTCAGATTCTGAAGTTTTGCTTCTTTTGTTGGGTGAAAACATGGCTAAACTGGTGCCCCATAGACCTTAAAATGTGTCCAGTGAGTCAGTTTCATTAACTCAAGTGCTAAAGGGTTGAATGACCCATTTACATGTTAAATAAAGCGTAACTGTGGGTTTAGAGCCGGCTGTTAGTTTGCTGTGATGTTCAATGTGTTGTCTTAACCACTAGTCTACTACAATGCTAAGCTGAAGTGCCACCTTCATTTCTAATCAGTTCGGTCAGATCTGGACATGCCTCGTGTATTTATAGACCATCAGTTCGTCAGAGTTTCCACGTAGCACCTGAAGCCTAATTGTGTCGCACATGATTTTTTTATGCCCTCCAGCTATTGTGAGATAACAACCAAGAAGCCGCAGAGGAAGAAGCAAGAACACGTAAGCTGAGTTTTTGTGTTTATTTACACTCAAAATGATGAAATCGTACTTTTTTTATGTGCAAAAATCATCACATTTACCAGAGTTGCCCCGAACCAGAATCAAACATAAAGTCCAGTTAAGTCTCCAGTAGCACATCGTTTCTTCTTCTTCAGATTCAACCTGTTGCTCACAGTAAAATAGTCGTTTCTGCTCGCTGGGAGAGATTTGCTGACGAGTCTTACACCATACAGTGAGTACGGATTTCAAGCCAAATGCACATTTTTCCACTATGCAAAAAACAAACAAACAGGGTTTTATATTGATCTCTGGGTCTTGTGTCTCGTAGTGTTTTTACCAACGGGGACGTCCTGGCTTCTCCGGTCCGAATAAGAATCCCAAAGTATACTCGTAGAAGCTGGGAGAACGTTTTAGCCATGGTGACGGAGAAAGTGCGTCTTCGTACTGGTGCTGTTTACAGGTAACGTCCTACATCAGTGCATTATGACTGTGAGTTTTTAATTAGTTTTGTACCACTAAAGACGTAACACGTAGTTTTATGTATTAAGGAGCAAGGATCAGAGTGGAGGGAACACATACTTGTGCTTTTTTTCCTTCAACTATACTAGGAATCCTGACAAACATAACATCCTATATCGGGTTTTGCAAAGAAATGTGGTTAATCAAAGACAGTTTCCTGCTGTGGGTTGTGATTCAGCTCCTCTTGTTTCACTAGACTGGTAAATGTGACTTTCCAGTTCATTTAAATTAAACAAAAATTTTATCTGGCAAGAAGAGTGGAAGAATGCTTCTAATTAATTAGCGACTGGAACCATGTCGGGCCGCGATGTGTACAGTGTAATTCATTCAGAACTGCTTGTTAAGAAAACACTGCTTTAATGGATTTTTAACAGTCTGCTAATATTAAATTTATCCATCAGTATTTGACACATATCCACAATACTTTTATCAAGCACAGCTGAAACAGTCGCTAAGCATTGCTCCAGATGGTGGTGTTTCTTTATGTGAGTTCCCAGGCTTTGCACATTAGACGGACGGCCCGTCTGCGGTCCCACTGAGCTGGAGAACAACCAGCACTATGTTGCAGTTGGTGCAGAAAAGTTTAAAGCCCTCCCGTACGACCGGTGCGTCCCCTGCAGGGAATTAGTAAAGAGAAACGACGCGATTGAAGGGTATGAGGCCTGTAATCTTCTGTCTATAAAATGTATGTTTTATATATATATAGAATAAACACTGGAACCTCGTTTTGTTGTGTAAAAAGGAATGAGACAATGTGTTTGTCAATATTGGTTTCCTTCTCTTCCTTGCAGCCAAGACACCCGGCCCGCTCTGAGAAACAAAAGACATGCAAAGGATATGGTAAGTGCTTCAGAGCCGAATGCGGTTTGCCATCTAGTTGTGCAGTTGTTCACTTTCTTGCAACGTGCGAAATTGTTGCATTGCTCCTCCTATATTCCCTCCAGTTTATTGCCGTAACACCTCGGTAGAATCACAGTTGAAAAGCGTATCTTTGCACACACAGCATTTCAATTAACATTTCCCACGTGTGAGACTTGTTGTGGGGGCGCAATTCGTTATGAAACAGCGCTATCATCAATCACTGTCTGCAGGAGGCATTGAGTTACCGTTGCTTTCCACTTTGATGGGTAATCCCCACAGAGACAGGCTGGCCCACTTGATCAAGTGCAGTGAGCCTCATAGACAGATCATATGCACCGAGGGGACTTCACTCACTGAAAACAAAAAAAAAAAAAATCTCTTATTCAGACCAGAACCGGGACAATTTGTATTGTGATTAAGTAGACAGTGAAATGCTTTGAATCCATATGAGGATTGCGCTGCTGTGGGCCCGAGATGAACACCAAATCACACGGTGAAGATGAGAACATGCCCACTCAGCAGGTTGAGGTGGCGGCGGGGCCCCCAGTGAGAGATGTCTGACATCTGATTTTTCTAACCATGAAAGATGACAATGCTGTGGCAGATGCCAATTTTTTTTTAGATGGAGAAAAATGCTCCTCGCCTCATCTCTGGCTGTGTCTGTGGTCGGCTACCTTTACATTCAAAAATAAGGTGGATATTTATTAGTAATTTATCAGAGTGAGTTTAAACGCTGGTGCTGAGATGAGATGAGAGCGTGTTCTTATCAGACCTGGTTTAACTGAGGCATTAGGTAATAAGCTGCCAAGCCTTTGTCATTTCACTTAGTGCCATGAGGTGGAGACAGAGACAGAGCTATGGCTGCGTTTTGCATCTCCCAGCTCATTGTAGTATTAGACATTCACTAGGCGTGATGCTACCCACTTTCACTTTCCTCGCCTCTGTGTCCGATCCCTCGTGAATTTGTACACATGATCTGACCGGTTAATAAGAACCTCTCGGAGGGGAAAAGACGCATGTGACAAAAAATTACCCGCTCTCCCTAGATCTGTGGGCTGTTTAGCTTACTGATTACACATACGTTTATAGGGTCATGTCCATCATTAATTTCAGTTTGACCTCACAAAACAACAGCAGTCTGGTTTGAAACGCCCGTAAAAAGAAGCTTTAAACATGCCCACCGAGGCCGTGTAAAATGTAACCTTGCTCCTGCAACCTCACTGTATGTGAGCGGTGTGCGTCCTGTCCTGTCTGCACCAGCGGTGGAGCGTTTCTGCACCGCTGAATGGGACATCTGGTCTGGAGCAGCCACCGACTAAAGTGACGGCTCTGCAGAGTGTAATATCGAAACTCCCCTGCACGCCGTGTTCCCATTGGAAGCAGGCGTATATGCTGAGTTAGGTGTTTACGGACATGATGAGGTAGAAACTTTTGAGGTAGACATGGCATAAAGAGAAGATTAATAGGAGAGAGAGGAACGCAAAGAGCAAAAGAGAATAATCGTGCGCATCAGCCAGCTTGCTTTGATATTATAGTAATTAGACTGAGCAGTAAAGCCGTTCTGTACATGGAGCGTCCTGTTAGAACAGCCCAGAACGGCTGACTAAACCTTTAATAGCTGCACTGCCTGACATCAGCCGTGATTTGCTGCTGCTCCCTGTTCCTCTGCTTTTCATGTATGATCTCATTGGTTAGGGGAAGTGGCAATGCCCAGAGGAAAACTTTGCCCCCCCTTGCTGCTGCCAGCATGTCTGCTCGCCGAGGACCCGGCCCTGGGAGTGGCTCCTGCTGATACCACAGTCAGTATGGCTGGAGGCTGGTCAGCCCAATTGTTTGCGACCCACATTTTCCCCTGGCTATCGTATCACAGTGTCCTCTTGTTGACTCCTGTTCTCTGCCACTTGAGAGGGCCACAGATTACTTGCTGCTCGGCCCCCCTGAGCCCCCTTCACACTAACTCTAGGACTCTCTTTCTCTATGTGCGCCTCTCTCTCTCTCTCTGGGGCCTCCTGATACACACAGTTGTCTGCTCCCACCGGAGACGGTACTGTAGATATGTAATGCAGAACGAGAGGCTGGATGACCTCAGCTTTTCCACCGTCGCGCTGCTACTTACACTGTACTCTCCTGGCTCTGCGGCACCCCTCGTCCTCCGCCTTCCCCTCCCCGGCGCCCTCGTCACCACTCTCCCCGAGTGAGAGCAGTCTCGATTCAACTTTGTGGATTTAAATATTATCTATTTACATCTCACCACCAGGGTGTCGACACGGAAAACAAGCTGTTCAATTTTTGATTGCCCAGATGTGGTTTGATTTTGAACTTTATCTCGACGTTGTTTCACATCACTCACAGATGGAATGAGGTTACGAAACCGAATTAGCAGCCGACTGCTGCGACAGTGCCACTGCTTTTTTTTTTTTTCTGCCTTTGATCTCATGTGGATGTGGACACTACAGCGCTAGAACGTGAACTCTGTTTCAACCCTCCTTCGCCGAATCTACCAGGCAAACTTCACTCTTTTGTTGTTTTATTTTTCTCCCTCGGCCCACTAACGGCTGTAGAAATTCAAAAGAATATCAACAGACTTTGCCTCTGCATTAAAGAAAGCAAACAAGTGAAGAAACAACGCTGCTATTCCCCAGACTCCATGTTAGTGAGCTTGCAAACACCATTGCCAGAAGTGTATTCTGGTGGAAGCCTGAGATCACTACACCATCCCCCGAGCCAGCCCAGGGATCCTGCAGTAAAGAGCACTGTTGCTGAAAAGAAACATTAAGTCTGCTCTCTTCCACTCTGTGTGTCTGCTTCTCTCATTCTCTGTAAGGGAGACATAGCTCACCTTGCTACCTACAGAGGGGATGAGGAGCCTGTGAGGAGAAAATTGCCTTTTGTGGAAGCATTAATTCAGATGTGTACCTTGCTGTCTGAACATCACTCTGAACTCTCCCCACTGCTCGCTCTCTTTTTCTTCCCTTCCTCTCTCGCTCCTTCGCTCTCCCACCATGCAACTAAGTCCCAAACCACTTTTTTTTTCTTTCCTCCCCTCTCCATCAATAACCTTCTGCTGTCTGCTGCTGAAGAATAAGTTATTCCCTACAACTCCCTCCCTTTCCCTTTAAGCTTGTTTGGATTTTCATTGTTTGATCTGGCTTGATAAATAAGACAAATGCAGTTAGAAATTCATGGCTGCCCCATTTCATCAATAAATGATTAGTTTGCCACGCTCCCCAGTGATTGATAGGTTGTGCACTGGTTGTATTGGAACCAGATGAATTCAATACAGTAGGAGTAGCAGGGGAGCTACAAAACATATCAGCTCATGAAAAATTGAGGTCAATGGAAAATGTAAAAAAGAGAAAAGAGAGGGGAAACAAGTTTCCCCATCGTGTTGTCTTTCTTCTTCTTTCTCTTTACAAAACAAGCAAAGAGTCGGTGATGAATCGCTGATATATCTGAGGAAAAATGCCTTAATCTGTGCCCCTGTTTGTGTTTTTTTTTCCTCCTCCCTTTTGTCTCTCCGTGCAGTTTGCTCATACCGGCTTTAGAGAAGACCTTGAGCACACAGCCAGGGGCCAGATGAAGAAACACACAGCCAAGCCAGAGACAACCAAACAACAGAGGCAGGTGTCCAGAAACCCAGGTCTCTTCTCGACGGGGGGTAAGCAGAGCGTTTCTGTACAAATGTCTCCTGCTCTCCCGCTCTCTCTCTCCAGCCCCCCTCGCCTCACACTGTTTTTTTTTTTTCCCTGCTATGATGATAGGAAAAAAGCCTGTTGGCTCTTACAGACACATTTATATCTATATGTATGAGTTTGTGTACGGCATGGGTGTGCGAGTGCAGGGCTTCACGTGGGGAGGGCGCATCATTATACATTCCTCTGTTTGTGTAGGTCTAATGTGTGGTGGGAATACTGAACATCATTGGCAGGTGGAGGAGCCTCACTTTTCTTCACCTGTTCTTTAAAGTCCAAACACAGCTCTTTGAAAGCAACTCTTTTCTGTGAATGTTAATCAGGACAAGAGCTCAGACACATTCTGGGAAGCTTAAATCATAGATAAATTGTGGCAGTGGCTCAGGTGGTGGAGTGGTTGTTCTCTGATCGTAAGGTTAGCGGTTCAATCCCCCGCCTTCACAAGTCCAAGTGTCCTTGGGCAAGACACTGAACCTTAAGTTGCTCCCAATGGCAGGCAGCAGCTTGCATGGCAGCTCCGTCACCATTGGTGTATGAATGGATGAATGAGAAACACGTTGTAAAGCGCTCTGAGTGCCGTTAAGGTAGAGAAGTGTTATATAAGGACAGTCCATTTACCATTTACCATAAATTCAATCCGGTCTTTTTGTTGAATTTGTAAGCCTCGTTAACGATGTACGGCAAAACACAATGCTCTCGTCAAAATGTTAGTAAGTTATTAATCTTAAATAACAAAAGATCGTAACGGTTAAAAAAAAACCTCTCCTTATACTCAGTATGTCACTTATAGACTGTATTTGCTTTCTCTCTCTCTAGTTGTGCATTTGCTGATGTTTGTTTGACCATCTGTGCACAGCAGCATAGTCATAAGCCTCATCCAGCAGCACATATAACATAACCTGGTATTACAGCATCCATAGGTTAGTTCTCACAATTATATAAATAAGAAATAAAATGGCTGACATGGTTAGGTAGAAGGCACTTTTACACTTTCACCTCATGATCCTGCTGTTTGTAGTCAGACTAGAGTGTTGCTCTCACTCTGGACACTTGATCTGTAACAAGGTTATCAACCAAAGTCCCACAAGGTAAGTATTGCATCTTCTTTATGACCAAATCACCTCTTAGATCTCTCCATACAGGCTCTGGGTATACACAGGCATCATCTGGTGAAGGATCAGAGCTGTATGCTCGTCTTTCATCATTTTGCCTTTTTCGTAATAGAACCGAGTCGAGCATCAGACCCAAAAGTAATGCTCGGCTAAAAAAAACAACAATAGATGAAGTCAATATGCTGTGTAGCTGTATAATTGCCTCTTTGAGCTAAACATATGAACCGAGTGTATTTTTTCTGTATGTTGTTCTTTAGTCTTATCACTGATTACTCTGCCATGCACGGGTATTTATTATTTAGATTAAATTACTTAAGGCATTTGAAGTCGATTCAGGCTCAATAGTGTGTTTCATTATTCACATGCCTCCTTGTATCAGATCTAGCAGCCGCAGACAAAAAGGAATTTGTTTACAAGGGAGAAACAGTGCGACGACGCGGCGCTATGAGCTATTCCCCACATGCATCAAGAGCAGCCTGTCACTGTCGAGATGTAACCTGGGACCCAAAGTTCACGCTGGCTGGCCATATTTGTGGCAGGGCAGCTGTGGCTTTCAGTGGCCCTTTCGTCTGTGGGACCACTCTAAATAAATAAATGGCTTGACAGCAACATTGATCTCTTGTGAAGTTGAACAGGAGAGGAAAAGGGAGAGGACAGGAGGGCAGTGAGGGATGGAAGGGTATAGAGAGAGAGAGGGAGAGAGGGTGTATGTGTGCAGAAGAATGAGGCGGCGACTGCCAGCAGATGAGGTAATTGTGATTAATCACTTTTCTCAGAGGGCAGCGTGTTCAATGCACAAAACAAAAGAAGTGAGATGGCAGGAGCAGCGGAGGTGCAGGAAGAGCGCCAGTTGAAGGTGGACCTGCCAATTGATCAGGTAAAAGACAATCCCATAGTGCACTGCAGCCTGATGAGGTCTTTAGTATACAGTCTGTGAGCAGCTCTGCCTGTTTATCACACAGGAAGAAAGGATTGATTCCAGTCTAAAAGCACAATAGATAAACATACAGAGGCCCCACGTTGGCTAATTCCATTTAGCTTCACAGTATGTTATTAACTGTATTAATCAGTGATTTTTACAGCTCGCTGTCGTTGGAGACAAACTGAAAGATAAAAGTTGATGATCGCTGCTCACGTTTTGTGTAAAGTGAAACGGTTAGATGACGGTCACGAAGGCAGCTTGAGCAGCTTCTCCTTCATTTCCCATCCATTACCTCTCTGCATGTTCTTCAGCTTCAAACAGAATCAAGAATACACTTCCCGTACAGTATAATATCATCTTCTACTCTGAATAAGGGCCGTGAATGCTCAGTAGAACAAGCTACATAAATATATAAATATTGCAAAATCAATACAGCAGTACAGTACAGTGTGAGCCGAGGGGGATCTTCTTGGTTTTTTTTTTCCTCTTCCTGCAGGTTGAGGCCAAGATAGTTGAAGAGGAGTATGAAGATGGGAGTTCTTCTGCGAGTCTCTGCAAGGCCTCCCTCCACGATTCCGATAACTTGTGTCTGCACAGGTCGTTGTTTGCGGATTCCAGGAAGGATGTAAGCACCCTTATTATACATTTCATGTAGTTTCGCATTCAGTTCATTTCGACTTCATTATTGGGTCCAATTTTCTCATTTGCTTTTGGATTAGGTCACATAAAGATGCTTCAACCAGCAATTATGGTAATCATCATTTCCTTAATTGTAAGCGGGTCACACAGACCTGTTTCCAGCTACTATGCTTCCATCTAATGTGTGCATAACCTGTTTTTCTGTCTCCATGGTTCTGTAATGGGCACTGTGTATTTACCAGCCCATCCTTTCTTCAGGGCAATGGGAGTCAATAAAAGGTACAAGACGCAGTACCGGTACTGCAGACATGGGAATAAAGACACCTGAGCCCCGGGTACAATTTTATGTAGCATGAACAGTGAAAGCTTAGCTGTAGCCACAGATACTATATATGTCACAGCATCAAGCTTAAAAAAAAATCATAAAAGTGTTATGGTTTAAGCCGAGGCCCATAACGCTGTGCAGTTGTTTTTGATGTCTGTCCTTTCCTCTGGTTATTGTGCACGTTCACAGTGATGAAGTGGGCCCGGGCCGTGTATACAGATGTTTTGCATGGATCCGTGGTTCCTAGAAATTACACTCATTTAAATACACTTATTTTGCTCTAATAATCCTCGAGGGACAGCAGTACGAAGCTGTGTAACGGTGATGAATGCACACAATAGTTGGGTGATATTACTATTCCGAGCAATTTCATTCGGCTTTGAAATGAGAAGATATTGAGTCTTATTTAAGCAATCAATAACCTCGAACATTTCGTTTTAATGAAAACTATAATTTCAAGCAGTGGCAATTACACCATAGGGGAATGTTTTGGTGTGGTGATGATTTTGCTGCCGTATGCACTTTTGCAATAAAGATATTCTTATTGGGATAATTATTGACTTCTGGGGGCCAGTTATGACCCTGGCTAAAGACCTCATCAATAGCTTAATTCATTACTTATCACTTTTGGTCATACGTGGATGTTGCTGATTCAGATCGGCTATGGATTGTAGGGAATGACCATTAGATAATGGAAAATAATAATATTAGTAATCCCCGCTCGGACTCAGCTACTTTTTGCAATAATCGTCTCACGAAGCTGTTTTTAATTTGACACAAGCAGGAATGTAGGACTTTTGTTCAAAGTCAACTCGATAACCTCGTTCCAGAGCGTGTTTTAAGCAAGAGTAATTATTGTTTGCAGTGAAATTACCCCAAATTGTCAGCACCTTTAATCAGAACACCTCCCGCCGTAGCTGAATGTTAATTTGTTTTACGTTCAAGGATTATCATATTTAAAAGTTGTTGTCAAGCCAGAAATAATAGATGTGCAGGTGAGACCTCCCTAACTTAAAGTCTAATCATCTCTCATGCACTCGCTCCTCTTTTCCCTTTGAGGCCAAACAGACTGTCGCTGTCTCGTTGTCAGCAACCTCATCATTTAGAGGGCTGTGAATAATAATGAGGGATAACTGCACTGCTATGACTCATACTTTCAGCTGAGTTCAGACAGATTTCCTCCCACTCCGGCGCTCATATATGCTTGTGAAATGCCCCGCGTACGCCGCATACGTGCGCGTATATAGTAGATATTGATGACCAAATTCAATTACATGATTACATTTTCAGCTGAAGCTTTAAATGATTTATTGCATTGAATTTAGATAGTGAATACATTTGCAGACAGTACACCGGTGAGGCGGCGGCATGCATGCGATATTGACCTGTGTGGTCTGGGCCAAATAAAGAATAACGAGATTCAGCATCTCTGCCAAGTGGAGATGTCCGCCGAGAGTGAAAGCAGGCTATCTCGGCGGTAGAGAGCGAAGGATGACGGCTCGGAGCTTGATGCACATTTATCAAAGCTTTTCTTATAATCACTCGACTGACTTTTGTTGGGCTCTCTGAAGGTTGGGTTTTCCTTTAGAGTGCACTCTGTTAAGGAGCTGATTGATTTGGCGACGGCCTGCGTGGTGGATGTCATACACTTTGAGGAAATGTGGACAAGGGTAGATTTGTACCCACTGGTGTGGGGTTGTGTTTACAACTATCATTTGTTTTGATTTAACAATATTGGCTGATTTATCAACCAGTCAGCTAAGCATTTTTTCTTAATTAATATTGTTAGAAATGCCAATACAACTAGGGATGTTTGATCAATTGTCTTCCTCTTCTTAAGAATTTTGTAATAAAAAATCCAATCATTATTGACCGGCCCATCGATCCATTCCTTTTCTTTTCCAATGCGAGTCCATTTCATTTGTCTTTCATCTGTTTTTCCATGCTCCTATTCCCTGAAGCTTAGGTTAGCCATTTCAAAGGCCTTAGTCTCCCCATGCAAGGTCAACTATAATCAACTCGAGACAATGTCACCGCCTTGCTTTTCCAAAGAGCTCGGCAGAGGAAGACGACTCCTCTGGGCTTTTAAGGACCTGCTGCATTATACCATTCAATTACTGTTCATTAGACAGTGTACAGCCATTAATCAGACTGAGATGTTCTGCTAGTCCTCAGCGGGGACAATGAACTGGGGAAATTTATTCTGGCTTCCTGTCTAGGCCGCTGTTTAGCGCTAAGAAGAGAGATGACACTTTGGAGTGCACTGAAGCTTTCAGTACAGTACAGAGTCCTCCCCACCTGTACTGGTACTCCACTCTCTGTGTCTGTTTTCAAGCGAAGTTCCTCACTTCACGCGAGCCCCGTCTTTGAATTTTTAAGAAACATAGGCTTTGTCAGAGATTTACTGCATATGTGGGAGAGTATTACGAATCTGATATATCACCGAAAGGGGAAAAAGCTGACAGATTTACTGATTAGAGCTGCATATGCATTGAATATGACTAGATGATGATATGAGAAACTGATTTATGTTTTCCAGGAGGCTAAAGAGAGGGAGGTGTCTTCCAGGCTCGGCAGAATACGGTCACGGGTGTCCCGGCTTTTCAAGGGTAGGTTCATCAAAGCATAAAGCCTGGTAGTAGCTCACTGGCAGCACCAGCGGCGGCCCCTGCGTTCCCCTCCACAGCACCTAATGCACCCATAAAGAGACCACTAATACACTCTGCATTACCAGTGCCTCCCTCGCATCGCATGTCACCGGATCCGCAACCACCTCTCAACATCTGGGAGAGCTTTACGCCATGCTTTATGGAGACCATCTGGTTGAGCGGGTTTTTTCGCCTCCCCAATCTCAGATGACTTATTCTGGTATTAAAGGCACCTGCACATCAAGGTGTGCCACGCCGAGAGCCTGGGATTGTTCACCGCTCTTTATATTTCCAATGTTGTTGGCAATTTGGAGCCACTCAGACAGAATGAGACAGATACGTACTTTGTTACCATGAAAATCCAATTTTTTCTCCCCCCCCCCATGACTTTGTATTTTAAGTAGAATTGCATGGTCGGACTTTTATGTGATCGATCTAGAGAAGAACACATCTGAAAAAACACAAAGTAATGCTGCGAACGCGTGATTATAGGGAGAAAAGATAACATAGTGTTGATGATGTAAACTTGACATTCTCCTTTGTCGGGGAATGTGCCTTTCAGATGGTCCAGGCAATTTCATTCTAATTGCCTACAAAACACAGGCTTTGGCTGCGAGGCCCATTCACCGGTTTCCCAGCATTCTCTATTGTCCCTGGTGAAAATTCCAAAGGTGGCTAAATGGAACGGGATGCGAATCTCTGCAGGTGGTTATCACTGTCTGCCCTTCAATCTGAGGCTCGCTCTGTCAGTGTGACACCAGGAAAATCACTGCATCCTGCGCTAACAGCAGGCTCCCCTCCTCACTCACGTGTCGCCCATACCATCGAGACGGAACACAGACGCACACGCGTGCACATATGCACCGAGTTATCCGACTGCACTTCATATTAAATGTTGCTTTTATACATGTGCACATGGTTTTTGAGAACATGCATGTGTTCTCTTTCAATTATCCTCATATCGATAACGCAAGAGGTCGAGATGCAGCCGCGCACGCTCCAGACGTGGCCGTGATGTCCCTGCAGAATATCAATGGGCACTGCGGGGGGCATCTGAAATGAATCACAGCACATTATTGCTCGCCGACTCGAGGCCCACACACTCATTTTTCTGTCCCTATCACATTATATTGTTGTTGCTGTTTATGAATGGCTCTGCATCATTCATACCTCATATTCTCTGGCTGTCACACTGGATCTGCAGATGACACAGATGCAAAGCATAACTGGAGACTCAGAGCCGGAGTGGAGGGAGGTGGGATGTGAAAGGAAATGCAAGTTATCTCTACCAGAATCAAATCTGCCTGCCACCTGCTTTGCATCAAAATGTCAATATCTGGGACAGTTTTTATCCTTGAAAGGAATGTGTTTTTTTTTTTTTTTTCTTCAGCAGAGTGAAAATAGGTGGCCTTTTTCTAAAAGCAAATCTACCATCAAAGTGTTTGCCCTGCCTTTTTCATATACTTTACCAGGGCTATTCCATCTTGACTTGTGTGTGCATGAAAGCAAGAGATACCAGTGGGTTCAGTTTGGCTGAGATTCTCCTTCAAAAGTTATTGGCACCCTGTACAATGGCCCTGTAATTTATGAGAACTGTTAGGGTCTCTGACAGAAGTTGTAAAGCATCTTGACTGATTGGGCTGATATGAGATGTGTGCAGTCATGGCATATTGTTGCCTGTATGTGTGCACGACATGCAGAGAGTTGCATGGCTCGCTCTGTCACAGATAAATTACTCCACACAGTCAAATTAAGTTGTTGTAAATCACCCCGTGGACCCGGGACTAGTCCTGAGTGACGACCTTTACGCCTATTTGACTTTAACTCTTATTTATGTTAATCACATCTGTATTATACTGACAGTAAAACTGTGTCATATTCTAAAAGGTCATTGTTTTGAAGAACGGCGTGTGACACGGACGACAAACACTGCTTTTGTTTGTTAGAACGTGTAATCCGTCTTGAGATGATGCTGTGGCTCCTGTATGTTTAGAAATAATTTTCTTTTTTTTATTTTACAGGTAAAACGAAACCGTAACGTTTCTCGTTTCCAGCTGCATCTCTTTCATTCAAAAGGTATGTACAACACAAATGATATCATTAATATCTCACTGATTCAACTTGTAATCCCAAATACATAAAACATAACGCAGCCTAGCGGAGCTCCATACAGAGCGCAGCAGCGCTCATCAATCATGTGGGGATACAGCATGTTCCATGTTAGCGTAGCACATTATGACAACTTGTGAGCATTACAAACGCTTCTGAAATCCTTCCACAAAGAGCTCCACCATCGTTACTGTAATCACATGTTTTATGGATGTTAATCCACTACATAGCATTTTGTGATACAGAATATACGGCATGTTTTTCCTCCGCTTTATTCCCCCAATCTGGTGGAGTTCTTGCTCTGGCGGAGAGCCAGTGGTGGCCGTCACTAAAGCAGAGCGAGGCCTTTGTTAACGACACTAAAGTTGTAGGCAAATGTATGCTTTTCTTCTCCTTCATCATATACATGTCATGAGAGGCCTTCAAACGGCTGCAGCTCCCACCAGCAATAAGTCCCTCTCTCTCACATTTACATGGCGAAAAATAATAAGTTCCAAAGGCCGCGTGTTGAAAATCAGCCATTGTGATGTGAAAGAGGCGTCTGCGTGTGATCTGGGCTGCACTTGAGACGACAGGCTCTGTGAAGTGCACCACTGCCCAGTTACACATTAGCTTTGATTGCCAGTTTGTTCTGTGCGTAGCCCATAGCTTTGAACTGCGTCTCAAGATGAAAGCCAACCTTGTCCACAGTGTGTCCACAGCAGACCGCTGCTGTTGCTTATTTGCTTCAGGCACCATCAAGGGCTTTGGGACTATATTTTTTTTATAGTTCTTTACCATGCTGGGATGAGCATTATGTATAATTTATCATACGGCGCATCCTGAGACAGCACCCTGTCTCCACTCCATTTTAATTTAATGCCTTTTCTCTCTTTGTGCGTCGTGTCTCGACTGTGGTCAGCGTATGATCCCACTAAGGTACGTCTTTGTTGTGTCCACTGGATGGACTTTGATATGAGGAGTTCCCATGGACCACTCGCTGCCTTCTCTCTCTCTCTCTGTTTCTAACCCCTTCCTTGTTCTCTCTTTCTCAGACTCATTGAACGCAGTGTCAGACTGCTAAGGACCAGACGTCCTCGTTCTCTTCTGTCTCCAGAAGCCAGCTGCTCATGTATAAGATGAAACAGTGTTATAAACCAAATAAAAATGTCTTGCCTCTTGACAGCCCCACCGTGAATATATGGCCTCTTATTTCAGTGAATATATTGCATAATTATGTATGGTTATGAATATTACATGGAGCCTCACACTGAGCGCATGGTAAGATGCCTAATTGCAGAGTTTAATTATTAAGAAGCAAAGGTCCTGAGCGGGTTTTGTGAGAAGCACTTTTGATAAATTATTTTTTGCAGTTTTCTGATGAATTATTTTGGGGGGCTTGTGTCTAATCAGCAGGCATAGTGGACGGCGTAACTGCTCTTGAGAGAGACTTATCTTTCCATGGAGAGGAATTACTATGCTGATTAAATCCACTGAAATCAACTAATAACTTAATGATATTGGAGTGGATCAGAAAAAAAAAGAAGAAGAGAGAATCATAGGCTCTCGGAGCGGTGGCTGTGGAGAACACAAGGGCACAGCGATGGAGGAACGAGGGCTGTTGCTGTTGACCTCGGGCCGCGGCTTTAATATTCCTGCGTTACATGAGGGAGGGAAAGAGCGCGATGGTATGTACCAAAGCAAAGCTCGTTTTAAACACGGCGTCGTCGCGCTGTACTTTATACTTCATATGAAGCACTTCAAGGAAAAAGTCCGGAGAGGCCGACTAAACAAGGAATAATAAACTAGATCTCCCTCAATACTGCCAAAGCCACTAGACGCAGCTGCTTGTATAACTACGCTGCTTTTTTCGCTGCTGCCACATCTTACTCTGCAGCGTGTAACTGAGACGCCCACACAAAACATATTCCTCCCTCGCTTCAGTTCAAATGCACTTAGTATGCAGAAAAAAAGTTTTAGGGCTTGACCTCGGCGCTCGGATTTCAAAAAATGAATAAAACAGGCCTCCCCGCGCGTTCCTTCGAATGCAGAACTGTTGCGCGTGATGTATCCTCCCATAAAAGCTAATGGCTGTAATGCAGACAATAAGAATCATTGACCCACTTAATCGCGGTTCTGTGTCATGCTGTTACGGTGCAGAATTCCAGCTTCATCCACGACTGTAGGATCAAACGGAGGGTAATAGCCGGGCTCCCTTCCATCCGCCTCCTACAAAATGCATGCGGGGTCTAGCACTTACGACATGCAGTCAAGCTGCTTTTTCACGAGCCGGCACAAATATGTGAATAATTGATTGATATTGATGTGAAGATCGCCTCGGTGTATCCAGGAGCTGTTTGTTTGGAAGTCTCCCGCGGAGGGCAGGAGCCCGGCCATCTGTCAATAACACGTCAGTCATGGTACGCGGCGGGCGCTCCGGCCGGCCCAGACGCCTCGCTAAGCAGCCCAGCAATTGTTCTCAGTGTGGCGTTGCTCGAAATCAACAGTCCTGCTTTGAAAGCAGGCCCGGAGCCAGTTCTGATGAAAGCGCTTCAGGTCTGTTTCAGCTCCGGGTCCATAAAGTTGTACAGAAACGTACCGATTGGGTCGTCTTGCTGGGATATAATTGCGGTGATTATAAATAAGGAATCAGTGTGGAGTGCAGTTTAGCCCGTAGCACTCAGCTGATGCATGTACAGTAGATGCATAATACATTTTCCCTTTTAACCTTAAATTAACTCCAACTTTTATGGGAAACATTTGGAGAAACACAAGTTGCAGCCGTCCCAACAGTACAACAACTTTGCACCACGAACTGTTGGGCGGTTTTTGCTGTAGGGCGGTTGGACTTCCCCATCACGGACCAGATATGAGCTTCTGCATCTCTGAGTGAAATGAAAATCGTCGAAGGTCATTTTGTACAGAGGCTCCTGCACCGAGCCCCCTCGCAGACAAGATGGACAGGTGGTGTTATAAAAAGACCTTTTCACAACTGACATCATCCAGAGCCACCAGGAGGCCACTCTCCCCTCCCTCTCTGTTCCAGCCCGGTAGCTGCCCACTGTCTGAAGCTAATGGCTGGAAGCACAGCTAAAAGCTCTCAGTGTGATAAGGTAATATGGAGTCAGAGGGAGAGGGAGTAAAAGAGCGCTACATCAGTGGGACCATATATTCTGATTATACAGGGATGAGGAAATGGTCTAAAAATAAAAACAAATGGCGAATGCTGGATGATATCACTGAAGCCAGATTGCTGACGGCGGTGTTTTGAGTCATATCCAGATGGTTATGGAGCGGCGGCGACGGTGGGAGCTGAGACTTACTGCTGGTCCTCTCCACTGATGTCATGCTTAATAAAATAAAAGAAAATGACATCCTTCTCCTCCAATTACATCAGTGAATTAGGAATATTACAGCCACAGTACTGCTTACCTGTGATTTTATTCCTGTAAGTTTCTCAGCGTTATTCATTCGATTACACGACCTGCTCTTATTCCGTCAGTGTGGTGTTAATTCACATTTCTGTAAGCTTGTAAAAGATGCTCATGATGCTCCCAGTCTGAATCACTGTTACATCAAACCTCTGTCTTTACTCACATCCAGCCATTATGCACATCCATACGAGTACAGATTTGTTTACCTACTGCTTCCTCTCCTCCCCTCCTCTCTCTCTCCCTTTATCTGCTCCCAGACTGGCTGTCCTTAGTAAGATGGATGTGTGCATTCCCAGGGCAGATGGCCGTGTTGTTGCTCTGTGTACCCGACTCACACTTTAACACCCGGCCCTCTTGTCTGGCCTGACGGGCCATTGCCTGGGGAAAGAACTCTACTCCCGCACCGTGCAGCAAACGTGTGCTGTGCAGCTAACTGCATGGACGCTCACGTCTCTGTGTTGTTGTCAGGGAGTCGACTGAAGCAGACTGTGTGGCAAACACACAGATGGGCTCATTCTTTACAGTTTTTGTTAAAGGAAAGCTGCGGCATGCATATACATGAATTTACATCGTGAGTGATTAAAAAAAAAAAAAAAGAAAAAAGGTGATGTTTAGCTACTGATATGTTGACACAGTATATTTTCATTTTATTTATTTTTTTAAGTACATGCATGTTTGAAAAAGATCAGACCAGCTGGTAGTAGTTGTACTTTTGGACAGTATTTGGTTTAGTAAGTAGATTTGATCAGTGACACCTGTTAGAAACTTACTTAATTTCCTTTTAACAATGGAAGTCCGCAAGAAATGAGCAAACTTAACCAAAACCATCATAACGGTGCATCATCCTGCTTCAAGACCTGGATTCTCTGGAGTGAGGATCTTCAGGCCAAATATAATGAAATGTGTAATATAATTTATTTTTTTAGTACATTAACAGATCATTCCATCCATCCATCATCTATACACCACTTAATCCTCACTATGGTTGTGAAAGCAGGTTCACCTGGACAGGTAACCAGCCTATCACAGGGCTACACTTAGAGACAGACAACCAAGCACACTCACATTCACACCTACGGACAATTTACAATCACCAATTAACCTCAGCATGTTTCTGGACTGTGGGAGGAAGCCGGAGAACCCGGAGAGAACCCACGCTGCACGGGGAGAACATGGAGACTCCACGCAGGAAGATCCCGGGTGTCCTCACCGGGACGCCAACCGGGGACCTTCTAGCTGTGAGGCGACGGTGCTAACCACCGAGACACCGTGCAGCCCTCAACACATTGTATTAGAGACAAATGAAAGTTATATGGACATATCAGTGTACAGTACGGTGCTGGTCCCAGTTTCCTACAAGGATGTATGACTTGTTACCTGTTTAAGAATGTTGTCCATCCATCCATCCATCCATCCATCCATCCATCCATCCATCCATCCATCCAACCAACCATCCATCCATCCATCCATCCATCCAGATTGTCCTAAACTATCAAATGTTTGACTTTAAAAGTTGACCAGCATCCATGTATGTATACTATTTAAATATTCATAACATTTGAGGTTCATGCTGCCTGTTAACATTTTAAATTCTCTTCTCTATTTATTGTGCACGTGTATCTGCCATGTCACTGTAAAAATGAATTACCTTCAGGTGTTGTCATATCTGAGTTCCTTAGACTTAGAATAAGTAGTTTGGGGGACAAACATGTTGGACAAGCCTAAGCATAGACAACACATGACGAGGTAAACCAGCAGACTTCTAATGACATCTTGAGTTGTAAAACATTTAGCTGAAACATGTATAATAATAAAAGTCAGCTCAGCTCAGCATCCTGTTGACTCTTTCTAGGACAGTCAGGGTACTTTATAGGAAAGTTGATCTCACTAGATGTGCTGCTCAAACATGTAATTTGCTCTCACAACCTGTGTTTCTATTGTCTGTAAAACGGATTCATTTACATTAAAGAGCATTCAGAAGACTTTTTATCTCAATTCAGAACCTGCAGTGGCATCAAAACTTTACCACAACTAAATATTATGACAAATGCCACATATTTAAACATGTTTTTCTATTTGTTAACTTTTCTTTGTGTAGGATTATGTCCCCGAAGTGATTCTCTAACTCTTTGTGTTGTACATATGTACGGATCCACGTGCCGACTCTGTGAAGTATGTTCTCAACAGCTTGTCTTTGTTGTTGTTTAACTTACTGAACGTCTTTTGATGTGCCTTATAATTAATTAGCAGCATATCTGGATCGCTTCTTTGACACTCGCCATTTGCTTGTTTCCATAATTTACAGCGTACGAGGGCTCTGATTGGTTTTTAACAAAGAGCTGCTGCAAACGTGTGTTCACGCTTCTTCTTTTATACCTCTTAACAAATAACCACCTCTGATTGGGCACCATTTTGCATGACGGCAACCTGTGCCTTCTCTTTTTTTTTTGATTGATTGATTCCGTTTCATTGCCATGATAAACTTTTACAACAGCTATCATTTATTGGCAGCATGTGCAGACCTCTTTAGGATATCTGTGCTTGATTTCTGCACGGCGATCTGCGGATGATAAATCACTGGCTACACGTAAATTATATCAGCGGGATCACACGCGGCATACGGGCCTCTTTTTGTGTGCGCGTATGTAAATCCGGCCCGGGATGTTCAGTGGTGCGAAATTGCAGG